TTGTCAATTTATATCTGACAAAGGCCTAACATCCAGGATCTACAAGGAAGTCAAACTTGCCAAAGAGAAAAACAAAAAACAGCCCTATTAAAAAGTGGGCAAAAAATATGAATAAATACTTCTCAAAAGAAGACATATGAGCAGCCAACAGATACTTGAAAAAATGCTCAGTCTCACTAATCATCAAAGAAATGCAAATTAAAACCACACCAAGATAATACCTAACTCCAGTCAGGATGGCCATCATCAATAACTCAAAAACAACAGATACTGGAGAGCATGCGAGAAAAAGGAAACACTTCTACTCTGTTGGTGGGAGTATAAACTAGTACAACCTCTGTGGAAAACAATTTGGTGATTCCTAAAAGATCTAAAAATCAACTATCCATACGACCTCACAATCCCTCTTCTGTGAATATACCTGGAGGAATTCAAATCACTTAATATAAAAGATACCTGCACACTTATGTTTATTGCAGCATTATTCACAATAGCAAAAACATGGAACTGATCATGCTACACATCGAAAGAGGACTGTACAAAGAAAATGTGGTAGATATGCACAATGGACTATTATGCAGCCATAAAGAAGGACAAAATTATGAACTTTGCAGCAACATGGATGGCTTCAAGTCTATAATACTGAGTGATCTATCACAGAACCAAAGAACTGAGTATTACATGTTCTCACTCACAAGTGGATCTTGAACAATCATCATAATACTAAGAAAGGGATTAGCAGTAGTAGGAAACTGCCAGTGGGAGGAGGGAGGTACACCTCATTAATAAGAGTACCTGACCTCAAACCAGGTGAAGTGGCGACCAAAGTGAGGCCAAAACTTTACCTACACAATACCATTTATATACCTAAACCTGAATTGCATCCTCCATCTGTAAAATAACATTTTTTTTAAAAAGAAGAAATTATAAAAAAAGAAAGTATAACCATAGCACATTGCTTGATTCAGGTATGAATAACCTAATCTGAATATTGGCTTAACGAAATTTGGTGCTATAGCTATACTGCAGGCTGAGGGAAAGAGTGGACAAAGTAGTTAAATAGATATTTTATGTAATAGAAAACAGTAGATAAAACAAAAATCAGAAAAAGGTGGGCACGGTGTTTCACTCCAGTAATAATCCTAGCACTTCAGGAAGCCGAGACAGGATTGCATGAGCCCAGGAGTCGAGACTAGCCTGGGCAACATAGCAAGACCTCATGTATACAATAATAGCAACAACAACAACAACAATAGAAAAGTTGAGCATGGTAGTTCATGTCTGTAGTCCTGACTATGGAAGAGGCTGAGGAGGAAGGAGATCGCCTGAGTCCAGGAGGGTGTAGCCGCAGTGAGTCATTTTCATGCCATTGCACTCCAGCCTGGGTGACAAAGCGAGACCACAACTAAAAAAATAAAACCCAAAAACACAACAACAAAAAACCTAGAGAACAGTAATAGACATGTTATCTATCAGTATGGATCCATACAACAAAATAAAAATGGACATAGTTACCCCAGGTATTAGAGATTACAGGTAGGGGAAGAAGGCAAGAGGAACACTGCTTACGATCATAGGCATCATAGTAGGATTGTATTTTAAAAATTATTTGCAAACATTACTTTATATAAAAAATAAACCTCAAGTAAAAATGCGCTGGCATTCTCACAGCTTAGTGCTCCAGCAAGGTGTACGAGCATCACAAGAGCATTTTAAAATGGGTAGAAACATCATGTTAAAACAGAACATGACATGGTGCTTTAATAAAGACTGTCTGAGGATCTGCCATATGAACTCCTCTTCTGTCTGTACCAAACTACACACAGAACAACAGCATCAGCATCATCCAGGAATTTCTTAGAAATGTGATTCCTTGGCCCCAACTGGGGTCTATTAAATCAGAAACTTAAGAGAGAGCCAGGGAAATGTGTTAACAGTTCTTCGGGTGATTTGGGGCTCACTAAAGAATGAGACTCTCTAATCCGTATGAGTAGGAAAGTGCCACAATTATCATCTTTAAAAAAATGTCAAACTCATTGTTATAACATGGGCTGGAAGCTACTGAAAAACCTTTTTCACATTTGGGCTGAAGAGCAATACAAAGGTGAGGTGTACTTGTGTTCTTTCCACCTCCTAGAATCAATCCCAGTGCATCTATCTAGAACTACCTTGGTTCTGAAAGATTAATCATCCAGCAAATGATCCATCAGTATCCTGACCTTTCCCTTCTCATGAGCAGTCTCCAGTGCCCAGACCCCTTTGCTTCTCTCCTGGATTATATCGTGTATTCTCTGCTTGATTACCTTAGTACAGGTCCATTATCTTTGACCTTGTAAAGTTAATATGAAGAATATTGTACCTTCATGAGGCATATATTTCAGACCCATCATTAGGTGGGCCATTTATTTGTGAGCACCCTTTATTTTCACCTTGAGGATGTTTTAGTCAATGTGATGTGGCTACAAATAATTAACTTGAAATAGTATCAGGGATGGAGGAGACAGACCCCATAAAGTATATACCACATGTGATAGTTAGACCTATTGAATACTAATAGCCTCTAGAATGGGTCATGAGAAAAAGCTTCCAAGGATAAAACATTACTTATAGACAAGTGTTTACCTGAGGTAACAAACTCAAACACCTTCTGGGGTCAGGGATGTGACCCAAATGGGTAAAAACTAAGATGTACTACTCTAGAGACTGATGGGCACTGGGATGCCTGGTTACTGTGATTAATTTTAGTCATCTTCAAACACTTCCCAAGGGCTTCCCTTTTTAAAGTCCTTGGTGATTAAAAGGAACTTGCTCTTTGTCTCTAAATTACAGTTGTCTTATTTGTCGTAACTATAAATGGACAATGACAGTAAAAAGACAAATTTGTCCATCTCTATGAATAGAAGATTGTATGTATCCTAAAATCTATCCTAGGTTTTATATGCCAAATGATCAATAAATTTTTATTCTCACAATCAACCCTATAACTACCACTCTACTTGTTTTTGGAAGATGATACTATGTAAGGGACAAACTCTGGATTCGGAGTCAGAAGACATGAATTAGGGTTTCTAACCATAGGCAAGAAATCTGCATTTCTTCTAGATCCCTCAGTTAGGTCATATGGAGTTAGGGATAAAAAAGATAATACCTGTCTCACCTGTCTCATGAAACTTTTGAATAGTAAATCAGGTAAAATATGTGAAAGCCCCTGGCTTGCCAATAAGTGATATATAAATGCCAAATGTATTCAACATCTCTACTATGTATAAAATGAGTTATTTCCATTGCCCTTAAACATTAGTTGCAGTAAAAGAACTTAAATTGTTAAACAAATAATAACTCATGTGGGCCAAACTCTCTTATGGTATATGTTAATAGACTGTCATGATAGGTATGAATTTCTATATTGGATGTAATTAAGTTTTTTATATATATATTGAAGACACGAAAATGTTTCAAACAAATAGAACACTGCTGACAAAGTAAGATAATAAATAGTTGGATGAGAAAAAGATGACTAATATTTGTTGTCATTTAACTTTATCCTCCTAAGAACTAAGAACCAGGTTACAAATTGGAGCTTAAAAAGATTTAGGTCATATCATTAATAAGTTCTTCAAAATCACATAATACATGACAAAAATGAGACTCTGAAATCTTATTAATTAATAAAACCAGACAAACAAGCATGGAGCTATTTTATAATTCTCCCATTAGTTATTTATTCAAACTTCATTATATAAAGTCATTTATGAAAATTTGGGGAAATAAAACCTGAGAGAGAAGGTGAAAGACAATATTTCTCCATAGGAGCATGGACTCTGCACACCACATAATAAGGAGTTATTAGACAGAGGTTCTTCCACCGATCAGTAATGGTATACAATGTTACACACACACTAGTTGTGCTGTCATTCTAACATCCTTTGCCTTCCTAAGTTTGGACCCAACCACAGAACTCGCAACGGGTCTTGAATAATCTATAGAGAAGGTTCTGCATTCTCATGTACCCACACAACATATTGATAAGTTAGTGCCAGAACAAATTTTATTTTTAGTGGATAGAACTATCTTTTTCTTTACATTTTACATAAATTCTCAGATGTATCCTTGCTAACAGTTAATTTCAAGATGCTGACAAAGGAAAATATGCCTTGAGCAGGTACTGAGTGCTGAAGCTGCCAGTCTGTTCATCCCCTGGCTTTGTAAACAGTGTCTGTGACAGGATTGAGAACTCACAAGGTTGACGCAGAGAGTTCAACTTTCTGATGCCCTAGGGAGTAGTCTCTTATTTGTAGATCTTAATATGTTCCAATAAATCTAGAAATCGGGGTTGTTATGTAAAAAGTCCGGATTCTAAAATTTAAACTAATTCAAATCTTTAAAACACATACTGTGTTGGATCATGTCTTGGGGACATGCAAACCTGTGGTTGCACGCCCCAAACTTTTGTCTGTGTGTATGCCACAACCTTCACCACGACCCTCATCCAGTCTGCTCAGGAATTAACAGCATTATCTCGTACCTGGTGTGAACATGACTGAATTTGCCAACATCTTGAGTCTGTACACTTAACCTTTGTATTTATGCTAATATGGTCACTCCTGAGAGAAGAGAATAATTTTTCACGTGACATTTTGACAAATTCATTCAGCAGCTCTGCAAGGTGGCTGTGTACATCATCGGAGCTAAAGACAAGCACTGCCACACAGATTGACAATGAGTCTCCCAAAAGTCAAAATGTCAGATGTAGAGTCAGTTCTGGTAAATGGAAACTGAACAATGCTCTGGTTTTGGTTTGAAGATTTAAAATAATGGCCAACAGCTGTGAGTGCCTTGATGCCCAGCATCCCAGACGACATCATTTCTTACTGCCGATACAATGTTACACTGACCACACAAGACTGCAGAACGACATTTTATCATACAGTAATGTTTATTTTTTATGTGTATTTCTCTATGTGATCTCTTTGCAAGAAAAAGCTGCTATCACACTCATGTTATATCAACACCAACATTTTATTTTAAAAGACTATATTAATGTGACACAAAAACACACAGGTTTGAGAGTTCTGACATTGCTTGCTCTAATCACTCTGAGGCTGTTTTAAAGAATTTCATTCTTTGGTCAATGGAAAGATTACACATCACTTGTTTGCACAGGCAGAGGTCGTCACCCTCATTTTATGATTTCTTCAGGTGCTTGTGATGAATTTCTGAATGTCCCTCGCTGTTTATCTAGTACTGAGGTCTGGACAGCTGAAAAAGAAAGAAAAAACATGTATTAACTTCCTCTTTTTCCCATATATATTTTTCCTTCTTAAGTTTCTTTCACATAATCAGAATTGTTTAGAACAAAAGCTTCTGTTAGTAGACTGAGAGATCAGTAGCAAACTATTCTCATGCGAATAAAGAGCAACCTTTTTGAGAGTAGTTTTGTTAAAGGAAATAGATTGGAAGTGCCTGGAAAAATCTGCACTGATATTAACCAAGGTTAAGAACTCAGCAGTCGTTGTAACCCTACTGACACACACAATTTCCATGTAGACATATAATGTAGGATAGCTGTGTTACTGACCCTCAAAATTACTATAATTTTTACTTTTTTCTATCACAACAGAATCTCAGAAGGAAAGCCCTCTGCTTTTACAATTGTTGCGTACCTTGGAGAAATATTAAGGTGACCAGCATCTTACAAAACTGACACGTTTCCGGAGAATTTTTTTCCATCTTAAAGTATTCTCTGCGTGACTCCTAAGGTGAAAGATAAGAACAAAACAAAAACAAAAATTAGTATGACTATGAATAGCAATTCTGTGAAAACGTAAAAGCAAAGAAAGATCATGTCAAAAAAGCATATTATATTAACCTTCAAGAATCACCTGTCCCCCTGTCGACGGTGAATCCACACACTTGCGATTTTCTGGAGGTATTAAGCCTGGGTTTCGTGACCCCCTGAATTTTTCTTCAGAAGGACATCGTACGGTGCCTCTAGAATTCCATCCTATCAGTTAGTTAAGGAAAAAAATCGCATCCTCAGTTGTTCTCCACAATCAACAATTCCCGAAACTGACTCTGTTTCCTTATTAATCTGAGCTCACTGTGCTATGTCTAAAGGGAAACATATAACACAGGAAGAGGACATGAGCATAAGGGAGAAAAAGCCATGGTTTTTTGTCATGATAAGTGTGGTAGTGCCAAGGAAAAAAGAGTGCCAGTTCTTTCTCCAACTTAAATGTCACCAGGTCCTTTCATTCACCTACTAACAAAATAAACAGGATAATAGCACTGGACTCAGAATTGCAACTAATGTTACAAAATCAGTTCACAATCAAGAAATGGTTAGATGGCAAACATGGCCAAGCTATTTCATATTCTGAAAAAAAAAATCACTGTATCATTAAAAGTTTACTTTGGCTACAGACATTGATTATCATGTATATGATAACTAAAATAATGCGTCTACCCCATGTGTACAGATGAGACATGAATGTTGTCTTCAATGAGGTCTATTCTACTTTTAGTTCTGTTGGACTGTTAAATGGCATTTACAGTGATGATTTTACATTTTTATTTGAAGGAAATTTTCCTAAACAGTGTAGACTTGAAATTGAAAGATGCAAACTTCATACTTGAGAGACTTGAACAAATATGGTTTTAGCCTGTCTGTCCTAATAGCTGAGTTAATGTTTTAAGTTCATTCAATCTTTAGGAAAATTTAGTATAAAGGTAACAAAATCATTGCAAATCAACAACTGAACTTTTTAATTTTTGTCAGGAGTATCATGACCCATAAAATGGATCACTAGTAAGTCAGCCACATGCTTGGAGATGCAGAGTAAAGAGTGTCCATACTACATTCCCCTTCTACTACCAATATTTTAATAGTAGTGTAATTTTATTCAAGCCATCATTCAGTAGGTCACTCAATGGGTATTTATTGAATGCCTGCTCTGGCACTAGAGATAAGCTATAAGCCAAACTAGGTCACAGTTCTCAGGGACATCATATTCTAGTATAAGGAGGCACTTATTTATTCAAACTATATTAATTGAACACTTACTATGTGCCTGGCACTGTTTTAGGTTCTTGGAATTTATCAGTGACTAAAGCAAAGAAAGAATCTTGTCCTTGAAGAGCTTACATTCTAAAAGTGTGATTAAAAAAAACAACAACAACACAACTACATTATATTACTTAAGAATTTTTGAGGGAGAAAGGAGGACAGAGATGTGTTGAGTTTGAAATACAATAAATTCAAGATGTCTAAAACTTACTTAAACATAGAACTCTGCTTCTTATATGAGCGAGCAAACATCTTTTCAGGCAAAAATGTCAATATATTTAAATATCTAAGTCATGTTTCTTTTTATTGTATTGGCTATCTAGCATAAGTATAATTTGTCTATGGTGTTCCAGGGGAAATAATCTTCATTTCTTTAAATACCAACTGATAAAATGTCAAAACTTGACAAGTAGAAGAAAAGGCACTTAAAATCTAAATCTTAAAAGGGTCTTGGATCATGACTTTCACAGCTAATTATTTCAAATACCAGCAAAAATGTTTTCCAAGCTTTAATTTAGAGTATCTTGTTCAACAAATTGTGGACATGAAAGACAATAGATCATTGTGTTTTCCTGGTATCTTCTCTGTACTCTGAAAATAATTTACTTACGGGAAAGCAATTTTGATTATTACAGTTATAGTTTGCAGTCAAAATGTTTTTGAAAATTAGAACTAAATTTAAACCACTTCATTTTATAGAACATAGATGTGGCATTGTGTAGCATATTATTAAATGTTGAAAATGATTTATCTCCATTTGGTAATAAAGCAAAACAAAGATCTGCACTGTGTTTATCATTTCTGTATTAAGGGTGTCAACTACATAGCAGTGCAATTTATTCTACTTTATTGCCTTTGATATCTTGAATAGTATCGACAAAGGAGACAATTCGTTTTAATAATGAGAAAGATAGATGCCAAGAAATAAAAATAAAATAAAATATTTTACGTAAATAAGGATTACTTTGTTACATATACACTTTTAGAACAGATGGCCAAAACATACTTGCTTAAACTGAGAGAGCACATTTTCTGATTCCAAAGTTATCTAGAATATAAGTTTGGGTTTAGCTAAATGTTTTAACATATATTTTTCTACTATTCCAATATCTGAAATGAACAGAAACTTTTAGATTCTTTCAGGAGGTACTTAGTGGTTAACAATACAAATTCTGGTGTCTCACTTTCTTAATCTATACAATGATAAACCAAAAAATGTATTCCCTGTAATTGTAAAATGAAAATGTGATTTACTTGTAAAATGTCTATTATTATTATTTACTTCATGAACTATAAATGTATATAAATTCACATGCACTCAACTAATTTAGTGTTTGCTACTGTATTTAATTTTAATATAATTCAATGATATAGGATTATTAAACCAATACTTTACCAAATACAATAAACGAATAGTACAGAACAATTCATTATATAAAAATTATTAACTCTATGTACATAGGAAAATAGATCACTTCATCCAAAATCATGAATATTATTGCCTTTCCAATTGATATGAACATTAAAACTCTTTAAAATTATTTAATATAACTACACTAGAAATAAAATACTTAAACCAAACACATGCCGGGCTCGGTGACTCAGCCTGTAATCCCGTACCTTTGGGAGGCTGAGGTAAGTGGATTGCCTGAGCCTGCGGGTTCGAGACCCGCCTGGGCAGCGAGACCTCATCTCTACAATAAATCAAAAAAATCAGCCAGGCGTGGTAGCGCGCGCCTGTCATTCCGGCTACTCGGAAGGCTGAGGCGGAAGGATCGCCGGAGCCCAGCAGGTCGAGGCTGCGGTGGCCGGGAGGGCCACTGTACTCCAGTCTGGGCGACCGAGTGAGATTCCAACTCAAAAAAAAAATCAAAACAACAACTACAACAAAAACAAGGAATTTCTGGTTTCAGACACAGTCTGCAAAATTTTTGAAAATTGTCACTTGTCCTTACAACAATAAAAAAGCTAAAAAATGGAAAGTCTACAACCTTATTGGGACCCACCAGAAAACTGAGGTTTCAGGGCAAATTACCACCAATAAGCTACAGAAATATGACAACCCAGAAAGTCACAGCCAAGATTCTTTATTAGGAACAGAAGGAGCAGGGGCCATAGACAGGTAAGAGCACTTAAATGATAATTTTGATGACTTTGTGGAGGCTGAGTGTGGACTAATATGAGAGTCAGGAAATCCTGGGGTTGTAGTCTTAGGGAGCCTCTATTGTTTCTTGGGTTTTAGCTTCAAGAACCATAACATGTTATTATAATAAAAAGTCTATGAAAGATCTCCTCATGGCTCTGGCAAAGGAAAGGAATATATAACCTTTGCGAATATGCTTAGAGGGTTCTTCATAACAAAAACTTCCTCTCAAAAGAAAAAGACTTTACCAGAACCTTACCCAGCTTGGGGAGAGGGCATGTCCCCAAGGATTGCAGTCAACTGTAGCTTTTTTGTCTTACCTAAGTGAGCTAGAGAGGGGGAGGAAGAAATGCTAAGATACACTTTTGAAGGTTCCATTCCGGGGAAAAGACTAAGATCTTAATCTTAAAATTATAAGAAACTTCCACTCCTCCACACACAACTTATCACCACAGGAATCAGACTCAAGCATAACCGTGAATTAGAGCTGAAAGAGATAGACTCTATACAAAGGGGAGTTCTTAGGGAAGTCCAAACAAAAAGAGGAGCAGGAAAAAGGAGAAATGCTAGAGGATTTTAAAGTTTTTGACACTTAAAAATTTAGCAAATATTAAACACAGCCCAGTCCCTTTAGATAAACATAGAACCTCATAAAGAGGTCTATTTATCTCAGTTCCTATTAACTGATAAATCATGTCTAACTTTCAACACAAGATTACAAAGCATACTGAAAGGCAAGAAAAAACTGTCTGAAAAGATAAATCAAGCATCCGAACCTTATTCATGTAGGAAAAGATTTGGGAATTGTAAGAGTGAATTTAAAATAACTGTAACATGTCAAGGGTGCTAATTGAAAACATAGGCAAATTACCACAGATACAGAAAACTAAACATCACATGCTCTCACTAATAAGCAGAAGCTAAATATTGAATGCACATAGGCACAAGGATTGGAAAGACAGACACTGGGACATTACTAAAGATGGGAGGAAGAGAGGGGAAAAAGAGCTGAAAACTACCCTCTGGGTACCATGTCCACCAAAGGGTGATGGGCTCAATAGAAGCAATTTTCCAAGAAAACATGGCGCCCTTAATACATATATATCTAGCAGCAGAATATAAAAACAAATGATTAAAAATGGGTAGAATTATAAGACATAGATGCGTCTACTATCACAGTTGAATGCTTCAAAATCCCTCTTCGATTAACTAATATAGCAAGCAGGAAGAAAATTAGTAAGGGTACGGTTGACCTAACACTATTAATCAACTTGAGCTAATTGATATTTTTAGGATACGCCATTTCCAAACAGTACAGCATACATTCTTTCCCAGAACATTCACTAAGGTAAACCACATTGTGAGCCACAAAACACACCAAGTTTAAAAATAATAGAGATTCCTGCAAATAATTTTCTCAGGTCACACTTTAGAAATCAGTAAGACAAGCCGGGCTCCGTGGCTCAGCCTGTAATCTCGTGCCTTTGGGAGGCTGAGATGAGTGGATTGCCTGAGCCCGTGGGTTCAAGACCCGCGTGGG